GCTCACCAGAAAGACAGAGAGAGATAGAGAGACAGAAAGCGAGAAAACACCCCCCAGGGGGGATGGCCACACCGCCATCCCTCCTTCTCCATTATTTTCTTGGGATCTTGGGCACGCACGCACACACGCCCGGCATGAGTTTAAGCCACTGGGTCTGGGACTCGAACCACGCTTGACTATGTGACAGTGCAACAACATAACCGTTACACCACCTGCTGGCCCCCCAAATGAATTTTCTCATCATGAATAAACTATATTTGTTCACTCAAAGATAAAAGGTTATTTATTTCTTCCATAAGAGGGGGGGCAGACAGAAACAGAAAGACATCCAGGTCCTCAGTTGCCATCTACCGCCAGACTCGGACAGTCTGGGTACAGACTTAAGTACATTACGCACAGCAAGTTCCCTGAATGGGAACCCAGGACCTTTCCCATATGGGTCCCATGCCTTACCACTGCACTACCACTTGGTCTCTTATTTTCCCTTCTTATTCTAACTTGCCCAAACACTCTCCCTCAATGCACATTTAGTGTGCAAACCAGAATCATGGTTCTAAAATCATTATGTATCCCTACGAACTGATTTCCAGCTTTTCTAATGTTATAGGATACATAGAAAATGGTATTTGTAGGCAAAAAAGGGTAAATTTTTGGCCACAAGGTTGTGGCCAAAAGCAATCACTGAGGGACTCTAGCAGCCCCAGCACTCCCTAATGGCTGAGAGAATCAATATCTTGCCACACCAGTATTCTATTCTTAGCAGAACAGGAAGAAGAACACCATTCTAGAATAGTGCTACTTGAAGCTCTGTAGTCTATAAACTGTCTGTTAATGGTCCATACAAGATGTGTACAAAAATTTGAATTTAGAAATTTAGGAATTTAGAAATTATATAGCAATTAGAGAAAAATAATAACTGAAAATAAGCTGATGTTAAAATTGAACCCAAGCGGGGGAGGGGGGGACCAGCAGTTAGCATAATGGCTATGTCACTGGACTCCCATGTAGTCGACCACGGTTCGCGTCCCGGACCCGGTGGCTTAAAACTCACGCTGGGCGCATGTGCGTGTGTGCCCAAGATCCCGAGAGGAGAATAGAGGAGAAGGGATTGAGGCGTGGCCATCCCCCCCGGGGGGTGATTTCTCGCTTTCTGTCTCTATGTCTCTCTCTGTCTGTCTGGCGAGCGCACGTGCCCTACAGTGAAAATCTCTCCAAAAAAAAAATTGAACGACCCGGTGGCTTAAAACTCACGCTGGGCGCATGTGCGTGTGTGCCCAAGATCCCGAGAGGAGAATAGAGGAGAAGGGATTGAGGCGTGGCCATCCCCCCCGGGGGGTGATTTCTCGCTTTCTGTCTCTATGTCTCTCTCTGTCTGTCTGGCGAGCGCACGTGCCCTACAGTGAAAATCTCTCCAAAAAAAAAATTGAACCCAAGCGGGACCAGCAGTTAGTGTAATGGCTATGTCGCTGGGCTCCCATATAGTCCACTGCGGTTCATGTCCCAGACCTAGTGGCTTAAACTCACGCCAGGCACGTGTGCGTGTGTGCCCAAGGTCCCAAGAGGAGAATGGAGGAGAAGAGATTGCGAGGTGGCCATCCCCCCTGGGGGGTGATTTCTCGCTTTCTGTCTCTATGTCTGTCTCTGTCTGGCGAGCGTACGCACCCTATAGCAAAAACCTCTCAAAAAAAAAATTGAACCCAAGCCATTTTTATTATAGTGTATGATTTACAAATCTTGTTTGGACCAGCAGTTGGCGTAATGGCTATGTCGCTGGACTCCCATGTAGTCGACTGAGGTTCGAGTCCCAGACTCAGTGGCTTAAGCTCACACCAGGCGTGTGTGCATGTGTGCCCAAGATCCCGAGAGGAGAATGGAGGAGAAGGGATTGCGGTGTGGCCATCCTCCCTGGGGGGTCATTTCTTGCTTTCTGTCTGTCTCTGTCTTTCTGGCAGGCACATGCACCTGCACCCTATGGCAAAAACTGCTCAAAAAAAAAAAAATACAAATCTTGTTTGTGACAAATAAGAAAATTTTAAAAAGAAATATTTATTTATTTATTTTAAATTGCTATCGGGCACATGTGCTTACCAGAGAGAGACAGAGAGTGTGAGAGAGAGAGAGAAAGGGAAAGTGAGAAAGTAAGCCACAGGGCTTGAACTATAGACAGCCATATGGGAATCCAGTACCACACCACTTGCTGGCCTCCAAATTGGAAATTAAAAGAATAAAATCACTGGTCTTCCATCCTAAAAAGCTTGAGAAGCACTGCTCTAGACCACTATGGCAAGATAAAGAAACTCCCAGGACCTATGAAAAATCCACTACAGTAATTAGAAGCGACTAGTATACCTGATGAGCTACCAATACCGCAATGTCTGATTTTAATGAACTATTGTAAGTAAATAAATCATCAAAACACCAAAAATGTAGGCACCATCATAAATAGATGTGCATAATCCAAGACGAGCCCATTAATAATGTAAAAAATACACCAGTGCTTTTTTTTTTCAGAGATTTTCTGCTACAAGGTGCATGTGCTCACCAGAGAGACAGAGACAGAGATATAGAAAACAAGGAATTATCCCTCCCCTGCGGAAGAGGGTGGCCATGCTGCAATTCCTTCTCCTCTGTTCTCGGGATCATGGGCACACTCGCACATGAGCCTGGGATGAGTTTTAAGTAGCTGGGTCCAGGACTTGAACTACAGTCAACTTCTTTTATTTTATTTTATTTTTTTTTGAGAGGTTTTCGCTATAGGGCGCGTGCGCTCGCCAGACAAACAGAGAGAGACATAGAGACAGAAAGCGAGAAATCACCCCCCAAGGGGGGATGGCCACGCCGCAATCCCTTCTCCTCCATTCTCCTCTCGGGATCTTGGGCACGCATGCACATGCGCCCGGCGTTGAGTTTTAAGCCACCGGGTCCAGGACGCGAACCGTGGTCAACTACGTGGGAGTCCGGCGACATAGCTATTACGCTAACTGCTGGTTCCCAATGCAGTCAACTTTGTAGGAGACCAGTGATGTAACCATTATGCCATTTGCTGGTTCCACTAATACTTTAAGTAGCAATGACCAGGAAACTACCAGCAGGTGGCATGGTGGTTAAGGCGTTGGGATTTCCACATGGCTGACCACGGTTCCAGTCCTGGACCTGACAGCTTACTTTCTCTCTCTCTCTGCCTTTCTCTGGCAAAACTCACCTGAAAAATAAATAAATAAATAAAATAATTATTTTTTTTAAAAAAAGAAGCAATGACTACCTCCAGTCCTAGTACCACCCAAGTAGCACTGTCATCTGCCATTACATCCTGGGAGAATGTGTAGAAACCCTGCCCTTTAACACTTGTCCCTGGATTACATGTAGCAGATTAAAAAAATATCCTACTTAGGACTATAACAAGTATAAAAGTATTATCATTTAGGACCTAGATCCTGTGGTCACTACTACAGAGCAAGGTATACAGTCATGGTCTAGGGTTAGAAAGTCAGCAACCAACGATTATAGTAATCTCTAACAGACTTCGTAAAAGATCTACCTGCCTAATAAAAGATCTTTCAGACCAAGAAATACAAACAGTAAAGCCCAGAACCTTTCTTTACTTTTGTTTTCTTAAAAAAAAAAAATACAGGGACTAGCAGTTGGCATAATGGCTATGTCACTGAACTCCCATGTAGTCGACCGCATTTCAAGTCCCGGACCCGGTAGCTTAAACTCACGCCAGACGCATGCGCGTGCGTGCCCAAGATCCGGAGAGGAGAATGGAGAAGAAGGGATTGCAGCGTGGCCATCCCCCCTGGGGGTGATTTCTCGCTTCCTGTCTCTCTGTCTCTCTCTGTCTGGTGAGCACATGTGCCCTATAGCAAAAACCTCTCCAAAAATAAAAAACAAAACAAAACAAAAAAACCTCACGCCTGGCAGGTGTGTGTGCATGCCAAAGATCCCGAGAGGAGAATGGAGGAGAAGGGATTGTGGCGTGGCCATCTCTTGCTTTCTGTCTCTCTTTCTCTCTCTGTCTTTCTAGTGAGTGTCCTATAGCAAAAGCCTCTCAAAAAAATACACACACACACATACATATATATTTGCTATAGAATGCAGGCACTCACCAGACAGAGAGAGAGACAGAGAAGAAGAAGAGAGAATCTCTCTCCCTTTGAGGGATGGTCATATCGCAATCCCTTCTCCTTCATTCTGCTCTCAGGATTGGGGGCACATAGATACACACATCCAGTGTGGCTTATAGGCCTTCAGGTCTGGGACTATAATACTGTCAGCTGTGTGGAATCCAGCCACTTCAACCACCACACTCCCAGCTGGCCTAAGCCCAGCACCTTTCTTTCTTTTTTTTTTAATTAAAGAATCATCTTTTTTAAAATTTTATTTATTTAATTTTTAACAGAGGGAGAAAGCTAGAGAGCCAGAGAAAGTGAGAAAGCAAGCCACCAGGTCCGGGACTTGAACCGTGGTCGGCCATGTGGGAGTCCAGCACCTTTAACCACCATGCCACCTGCCGGCCCAAGCCTAGCACCTTTCTACCTCATTGCACTTACCAGCTCTTGCAGTCTCCTCTTGCTCATGCCTTTGCGTTCCAGCTGTTTTTCAATCACTTTGGCATTCTGTGCATACGAGTCAGCCACTTCCCTCTAAAGGGAAATAAATGTGTCCTTAAATGAGCAGTCTCACCAAGAAGAAATAGTAAAGACTATAAGTAGCAATTTACACTATTCAGATCACGAAATCGTTACTGAAATGACAGGAC